TTTTTTTTTTTTTTTTTTTTTTTTTTTTTTTTTTTTTTTTTTTTTTTTTTATTTTTGTTTTGAGCGAGGCCAAGGTTTTGTTTCGAAAACTTACGAGTCTTACATGCATAAAGAATCTGATTTTTTTTCCACGTTACTACGGTAGAAAACGCACCTGTGAACCTTAACTTTGCCATTATTTGATAATTGTAAATTTTTAATACGACAAAAAAAGATGTACCTTATATATACAGTACATAATATACACACTAAGTACGAACCGATTAGGAATCCCACATACATTTGTCTTTATTTTGGGATACAATTTTTTTTTCTTCTTTTCTATAACACTATCTCTTGAGGTCACGAGAAACCCGAAGCGTTACAATAGATGGTTATTCACTTGTACATGTATGACCGCAAAAACAAGAGTACAATGATGTACAGGTGCTTAATTGTGCGTACCCGCGTATAATATTAGAATTTGTAAATTTGGTTGATTAAATATGTATATGACAAAGTGATTCCTTGTATAAATGCAGGTACATCTATCTGAGCAATAATATCATTTAATAAAGTAAATTTGTACTGGGATGTATATGCATCAAAACGATGAATTTGAGAAAAAATAAATCAAATTATCTGGGAGACAAAAGCATGTAATATTGGTATACCATACACCATAAATCAATGCGAATTATATGACTGGTCATAAAATCGAGTCAATAGGATCTACAGAGGGTTGTTGGCGAAAGCGCTTATGAGAACAAGTTTTCTCTTCTATGGTCTCACTGAATCATTACAAATTAATATAAGTAGGTATAGGGCCAAATACGCAACTTACTGGGAATTCGTTGAAAACGCGGAGAAATATAAAACTTTATGAAATCAGTTATTTTTTTTAAAAAAAGTAAATCAATCTTATCTAAAAAAAAAAAAAAGTATAGACGAAAAAGTACAGTTTGATGTGAAAAACTTTCCAAAAGTGACTCCAAAACTCTGATGCTTATATGCAAATCACTGTTTCAAAAAATCTACGAGTAGGTATCTTTAAGAAAATCTTTTTTCGACACGAACAAAAAAAAAGAGTTGGAAAGTCATCCCCCCCCCCCAAGTACAGTTTAGGTCACCATTGAGTAGTTTGCCTATAATTATTTTGCAACGATAGTGGAGAAAACGCATGATTTTGAAAAATATGTAAACGTGGCACGAAAGTGCATTGCTTGGTAAAACGAAAAGAGTAAAAGTGAGTCAGTAGATGGGGGGGGGGGGGTGTTATATACGGAAGCGAACGGAACAAACGAGAGTCCTCCCGAGCAAATTAGAGACCCGCATATGGGTATATTGTCGTGGTTCCTCTTAATTTGTTATACACGTACTATGAGCGTAATTATTGTATATATAACCACAGTCACACGTGTTGGAATAGAAAAAAGCGTGGCACTAATGGCCACCCGTTGCAGTAAAAAAATTGTTTGATGAGATATCCCACGTACTTATACTTACCAAGAAAGTAGTTGGAGAATAAAAAAGACATTTTTCGACGTGAGTAGTTTTCGGCACCAAGGGATCGAGTTGAAATTACAAACACGGCATACGCACATAAGTATATATATTACACTGTAGAATCAACAACCGGCGCTAAGTGCGAGCACAACAAACTGCTTCGTTTGTTACCCCTGTAAGTGTATAATATAGGTATGCACGGCGGTTCTTTTCTTTGTTAATATTTAAAACTACAAGACTCTAGTATATGGTCCACCTCCGTATGATGTACAGTCGTAATCGCCTATTCGGTTATATACTATACTCGAGAGGAGGATGCACACTGTGCAGGCTTTATTTTTTCGTTGCTCGTTTCGAAGTTTAGCGATTTCCTTCGCGTTTCCCAACGATTTATAAGCAAGATAAGACGATAATGATCCTAAACGAGGATAATATATTGTACGCTTTAAAAACGTATACATATATTATTAACTCGAAAAGAAAGATTATCTTTCTTTTGTCTATTCGTTTTGTGTGTGTTATCATATAGAGGTGGCGTTAAAAATTACATTTCCATTCGGTCTAACTGATCCGAGTGTTTTTTTTTTTGTTTTTTTTTGGTGTTATAATAACAGAAGAGTTGGCGAACGAAAGCTTGTTAAAATATAAAATGCACAAATGATAAAAAAAAAAAATGAAACCAACATCATTTTTTTCCATACTGTGTAGGCATACGACTCTTTCGTGAAGTTTGTAGGTGTAAAAGTACACATATAGGGTAGTACTGTTGCAGTTGTCTGTATATATATAATAACCGGACGCAAGGATTGTGACTTTTATGTATTACATGACTGCTGCAACGGCAATGACAAGCTTATTGTCCCCTTTCGCGGTTTGTGCACAGAGTAATGGGGGTATTTCGCGGAAACGAAGATCGGCTATCGACCGTACTGTTACGTTAAATTATTTATTTATTTATTTTTTGTTGCGTAAGATATACTTAAGGATTAAAAAATAATGTTTTTGTTTTTTTTTTCGTGTTATACATTGTTGGCTTATTTTTGTGTCAGCTGGGGTCACGCGAGCACCCTTTAAAATGTCGAAAACACACGTTATACATCGGCGCAATCACTGGACAATTTTTTACAATCACATCGCTCGTGTATTGTTCGGTAAACGTTTTACCATATTATTTCTGTATTACATAACAGGATATGTTATTTTTAGTACATGTAATAACTTTTTGTTTTTTTTCATCTATGTCAACTCACTAGTATATGTATAATATTTGCATTGTGTACACAAATATCAAGGTAAATGTAAATTTTCAGATGTTAAAACTGTTTTGAGCGCCGGTTAAAACAAACGCGTAACCGATAATACGTGTATTATGAAACAAGTGTGTACATAATCGTGTGGGTATATAGTTCAACGTGTATATATTTATATACACACACAATTTATCACGATGGCACACTTATGCATTTGACGGCTCAAACAATAACTCAATAAGTCGATTTAAACTTTTCACGCTGTGTTTATACTTGATGTTTAAACGCAGTAACTATTAATTGTTACCACGTGAATTTGTAGAAAAAAAACCAAAGTTAAGTATATTTTTTTTATAGGTACGATTATCTCGTAAAAGAACAAAAAACTTCTGAGCTTGCAAGTTCGAATTTTTCGGGACAACACAGTCCGTACGTTGTTCAACATTTGCTCAACTTGAATAGACGAGATAAGTGGATGATTGAAATGATGGCTTTTTTTTGTACCAAAAGCGATTATGTTTACACCCTACGATACTTGGCGAAAAGCGTATAGATTGCTTCTAGTTTAAAAGGCAACGAAACGAGGTTCGATTGTACTTATATAAATTTAGGTCTGATAATTTACCACCAAAGAATTAAAATTAACGAGTTTATTACAAACACAGCCGGCTGATGTATCTGTAACAAGTTCCGTTCAATATATATATATAGAGACAAAAG